TCTCGGAAAAAAGAATTATTTTCCACACATGTATATCCGATCTTTTGGGTGTGGACGATCACCATTAGGTGGTACTTTTGTGCAATTTACACGATAGCAGCACCCATCTTGTTGACACCAACTGTACTTTTTAGGCCTGGGCATCTGATAATAGCCGAGAGATCCTCTACAGTGACAAATAAATAGGTCTGCTGATAGTCCAGCCGACCGGGACTTCAAATGATGCTTCATTTTGTCGTGTCTACCACCTCACTCCTCTACCAGACGTGTATACTTTCGTTAATTAGCAAAACGGGGAGGATGTTTAACAATCCCGTCTACGCAAGTGACAATCTACTTAAAAGAACGTCAACTCCAGACAGCGGGTAACACTCTCTGCTGGAGCAGCACAGCCTGTGGGGATTGGCATCTGGAGGGTAGGGTTTAATTGTCGGCATAGTGACAAGCTTGTATAATGAGCATGTAGATAATTTGGTGAAAACCGCACGTCCTCGACACCATTACTGCAGATCGTCTCTCCTGATGCATATAATGAGGATAGAACATGGGGACACACGCCCACCAAAACGTGGAAAAAACGATTGACCCTCGTGAGCAACAATACTGTCTCAGGTATCTTGGTTGCCAGGCGCTCCGTCAAGTCGCGTGGTCTTGTGATAGGGAGGGGTCCTTGCAAATCGGGGAGGGCTGGAAGATCAGATCCTCCGCCTTAAAATGCATGGTTTGATGTGGAACCTATATCTATCTATGTCTATCTGTTTATCCATCTATCCAGCCATATATTTATTTATTTATCTATCTGTTTGTCTGTACGTTTGTGTGCTTGCTTGTATTTCTGGCTAGAATTCTCTTTATGTATGTGTGTGTGTGTGTGTTTGTATGTGGAAATGTTGTTCTGTATTTATATATTTTTATAGGCCCTTTTCTTCGTGTGCATGTGTGTGTGTATGCCACTTTATACCTGTAGCCATCAGAGTAGATGCACACTGTTGATCGCTTGGTGTCTGGGCCTCGATAGATGAACTTGACGACAGGCTTTATCCAAAATCGCCCATTGCAGACACCCGACACCAGCCTTCACAGCCTTCACAGCAAAATGACTGTGGCTAAGCTGACCAAGTGGCAGACTGGCAAAAGGACTCGAAATCATGAGGTAAAGGCCGGAAGTCTACGTTTGCTCATTCGATGAAAAAGTCTCTACCTGCGATGGAACTCAGAGTAAGCAAATCAAGCAACAAATAGACTTGCACATTTGACAAATCTCCTGATCTCGTAGAGATGAACGCGATTTTGATGGTGCTTACCTTGGACTGATCACGAATCTGTCAGGGAAGAAGTAAAGACAAGGCTCGCTTTACTTTGCTTCATGAATTCCACTTCATAATGCCGTTTTACTCAGGGCTGGACTGTATTGTCATGCTTAGGAATCGAGCCATGAATGCTCCCGTTCAGAGGTCGGACTAAGCAATGGAACTATGGTCGTTCGGCCGAGTGTGGAGAAGTGGTTTTTTATTTGAAGTGATCAGGGAGGGCCATAATTGAGCCATAATCTTGCCGCCGAACCAGCACATGAAACCGCGTTAAGATGGGATATTGGAAAACAGTCACTTCAGAGGCAATTCCCACAGAGAATAGTTAAAATGGGACATATCTTGATTACGTACAGACGTCAACGCACAAACACAATCGGGTTTTAGTGAATTAGCTAAACATTTCTATATCCATTTATAACAAATTTTTCTCGCAATGTGGAAAAATGCGATTACTCTTCTTGACTTCGTGTTAACTTGAGGCTTTCGCAATAATGAGTTTCAGCTGTGACGATGTCCAGCATAAGATGGAGGAGAAAGCAGCTGGTTTTTCTACCGAAACGAGAGAGGATGTCTCGTGGACTGCGTCAAACTGAGCCAAACGGCTGCAGTACAACTCGATCAGCCGTTGTCTTCTGGTGAGCTCGACATTTTGAATCTCTTCTTCATGCAACAATCTTATCTCAGGAGACTGTTTGAAATCAGAATTTTCTTCGTTTATCTTGATTGTGTCAGGCTCCGGCATCAACATCACTCGGCGCCCCAATGGACCACATCGTCACCCAGGTTACCGCATTTGTACAGATAAATTACTGATAGAATTGCTGTATCCACGAGGAAGAGACGCTGTTCTGGTCTGCTACTAAATCTGTCTGACAGAAACGACTATTTCTGGCCGAAATCTGGGGACTGTAGATGTCCGGCCTTCGGAAGCTCGGCTCATCCGAACAGTCACCAACGCGACCAGCGTTTTTCGGTTGGAGAACTAACAGTACTGACCATCGTCATGGTTCACTGTGCTAACATTTCAGCCTTTTGGGTTCATCTGTGCGCCTATACACGCTTAACATGCACACAAACTTTGGTGGTCTGCCCTTCTTGCTGGTGTGAAATGAAAGGATGTGAATGACAATGTGATACTTGCCGTATAACCTGCGGACGAGACAGTGAGCTATGCCTAATTAACGAATCTATTAAGCTGCCGGCACCCAGACCACTGGTGAAGCAGACTTGATATCACATGGTTAATTAGCCTCAAACTCTGTAAGGCTACATGACTTATGCTCTCAACCGGCTTAAGAGAAGAGGCGGATTAAGTGACGCTAGTTGGCATCATGTACATATACCTTCATGTCTCCAGCTCCCCTTTTCTTAGGCAAACAAGCATGCCTTATCCAGACACAAACGACTATAATTGCCGGAGGAAGGATGTGTCAACTTGGTGAGATGAAAAGTAGCATATTATGTTGGTCAGCCACCCTCTTTGTCATTGACTATTGCAGGGTCTGACGTGTAAGCTCAATTAAAAGTGAAGATGAGCCAGTTATCTGAGGTTCTCAAAGCTGGTCTGGACTGAGAAGAAGACATTTTTCGTTTTTTGTTACCCATCTTTTAATTAAGCTTTGCATCCAAAGCGTGGGTTATATTCGAGGGTCATCTGCAAATGTAGCTTGTGCACACACTCAAAGAGGCACAGGGAAATAAGCAATATTGGTAGGAAAATCCAACTGCTCACAAGCTACATCATAGTATAGAGGTGTTCAGATTCATATTTGTATGCCTAACATAATGCTAAGAATACTGAGAGACTCAGAGGCATATGGAGCACGTCATTACCATCACAACAATCGCTACTACTGCCGATGTTGCGACTATTGCTACTTGTCTACTACCGCTAGTACTGTTACTACCACCATTTCTACTGCTACTATTATTATCACTTCAACTAAACTTCCCCACCACTGTCACCACTATTTTGACTGTTCTTACTACTGTTGAGACTACTACTACTACTACTACTACTACTACTACTA